ATTATTATTAATACATAGATGTAAATTTAATAATAATTATTATTAATACATAGATGTAAATTTAATAATAATTATTATTAATACATAGATGTAAATTTAATAATAATTATTATTAATACATAGATGTAAATTTAATAATAATTATTATTAATACATAGATGTAAATTTAATAATAATTATTAATACATAGATGTAAATTTAATAATAATTATTATTAATACATAGATGTAAATTTAATATAATAATAAATAAAAAGTTTTAATACGAACGTGGTGATATTCCTTATCTAAATCACAATCAACCACTGGAAATCCAGTATTTGAATTTGTATCCTTGATATAATCATGATCATTTTCTTTATTAAGATTGGAATCTATATCATTTATGATTCTATTTTTTTTAGTTTTTGATATTACCGAATTATGGTTTCCCATTGCTTTAAGTTTGGTAATTAATTTGATATAAAAATAATGATAAAGGAATGACATGTGGTAATGAGTGTAGAGAGAAGAGATGAATTAAAATATTTGATTTTGGTTGTTTTAGAACGTAAGTTCGTGCTTAAATTTATATAGTATTAACGTTAATAAAGGAAGAATCTAGATTCGATTATGCATAAAATAATGAACACTGCAATTTATCGTACTTGTATAATTTATAACAGATGATCACAGTACAGTAGATTATGAAAGATTTTTCGGAACTGACTAATCGGACTAATGTATGTTGAAAATTACTTTCTCTACTTAACGCTAAACTTTATAAAATTTCAATAACAGGATAATTGATATAAATTACTATGCATGTACGCACAAACGTAATATTTACTAATTATCTTTGCACATATAGGCTTAGACCAATTTAAGGATTAACATAAATATCAGGAGATGGATTACTTAATGAAAAAAAAAAAAATACGTACGTATTTCCTAATTTTGCCCAATTAAGTATAAACTTTAATTTTGAATGCCTATTATAGTATTATAATTATCATTGGGTCAATAAATAATTGATCTACATGAAGAAACCATTCGAAGAAAAGACCATTAGCTGAATCATTTAGTGCATTTATATATAAGCACGTACACTTAAAGATTGGATCTGGGTAAAAATAAATAACCTAGGGTAGAGATTTTCCCACATATACCAATATATCTGTGTCGGCTAAAAAAAAGTCCGGATCAGCGAGCGTTGCAACAGGCCAATAATTATATGTATAATCGACATAAATGGGTTTGCAAAATGATTCAAATTTTGTATATCTTTGTAAAATTTTCCTGATTTTCGTCTATTTACACGATTTTCTTATTCAAATGCTTAATATACGTAGAAAATATTTTATGAATCTTTATAATTTACGCTAAAATAATTGTGCACAATCGCACAATCGGATGATTCTGCTCTAAAAAATTATTAAATTTGATACACAAAGCGCATTAAGTTTTGTAGATAGTTTCATATTAAAATTACCTGATTTTCTTTCACCAATAGAAAGTGATGATGACGTTTCATTAAATATAATCGATAGTTATAATGATAATGGTATGAATAAATAACTTGTATAAAATATTTAATTGATATATATTACTTATTATTAATATTTTATTTATTTGTTTATTTTTTAAGACCGAAATTCTCCTCTCACAGAAAGTAATACGGAAGTTCAATTGAATCTAATTAATAATAGTAATGTATTAATAAATAACTGTATAATATATCGATACGTATATATTTTTTATTTATTTTTATTTTTATTTTTATTTTTTTTAAGCCCAAAATTCTCTAATAATGGAAATAATGCTGAAATTATTGTAATTGACGATAACGGTAATGACAAGGAAAACCTGAAATATAACAGTACATAATAGTAAAATATTCTTAGAGTAAAAAGGAAAATAGCGTGCATCGGATATGTATAAACTTAGAACAAGTATGTATTTTATATACGTAGTATACTGTATATATTATATATATATATATATTTATATTTATATATATATAATTAATTATTGCTATAATTAATAATAATAATTTATTTATTTATTAGAATTCATTGTATCGTATGATAACTTGTCTCAAGATTATATGCCAATTGACGATTTATCATTTCAAGAAAATTCTTTACTAATTGAAAGCTCATTTCGGGCAAGGTTTAATGACCACCAACTATTAAGAGATGCTGCAATACAACATGTTAAAAAAAATCATCAAGTAATTCGCAATATTATGGAAAACTAAATGATCATTAAATTTAAATTCAGGTGATCTTGAGAAAATTAGAATTCCTAATATTAACAAGCAAAGGATTGATCGACGAGCACTACCATATAAGGTTATCCAAAAAAAGCCCGATCATGATTCATATCAGGTTGGGTGTGAATTTGGGATCTTAGATAGGTGGTATCCAGCAAACGAATTAGAACTACTAGGCACTAACAATATCCAGCACTTGACATTATTCCACTTGGCACTTTTATCTTCTTAAGAAATGCTGCGACATGACAAAATTTGACACAACCATTGCACACAACTAAAAAATACTATATACAACTAAGAAGAGCCCAAGAATTTAAGAACAAGCAACTGAACAAGTAACTTAACAAACAACTGAATATGCAACTGAACATGTAATTGAACATGCAAAAGGCAGAAGCAAATGTAATTGTAACAGAACGAACATTGTGGATGTGTATTACAAGGTCAATGCAATAATTTCTAATATGAACTAACATTAAAATCATTGTTTTTAATAATTATATTTGTCATTCTCTCAAATTCAACTATTATTGTATAAATTTGCTTAATTTTTATATGTAGCACTAAAATAAATATTTAAATAAGAGTGTACTGCTTATATTTTTCTTTTTGAATTTTTTTATAATCTTTTTATTTTTTATAATTTTTTTTTTATAATTTTTTTATGATAATCGGTATCTAACATACCTATTATTATATAACATATAATACTAGAATAAATCCCAAACATCTTATATTTATAAAAAAAATCTGATATTAATGTGTATATCGATATTGTTACACTGGTAAATTTAGAAGCATGATTTTACAAGCATGCTCCTGGCTTGTATAATTTTTTTTTTTTGTTTTTTTGTTTATTTTTAATTTTTTTTTTTTCTTTGTTTCTTGTATCCTCTTTATTTCGTAAATGAGCTGTAGTAGATTGAAACTCAGTTTTCAATATTACTTTAACAGATAGAAATTGGTGGGATAACCAATAAAAACGAAGTTTCGTGAAAATGCATTTTCATGAAAATGCATTTTCAATTTTCGATCAGATCGAGAAAAAAAAACATTATTACATCTTAAAATTGAGTCTAGAAAACATGTATATAAGGTCCTCAAATTTTTGTTAATAAAGTTTTCTCAGACTTTGATATCTTGAATATAAGAAAAATATTAGGAATCGACTTCTCAAGTATTTTGTTTTAATGTTTATTGAATAATTTCTTTTTATTATTTTGTTTTTCCTTAAGTTTTATTAATTACTATACATAATTAACCTCTAATTAAATTAATCAGTAACACATTTATTAAAATTGATTAACCTGATCTTCAATAAATCGCCACAATTAAAGATATTATCCCAGTATTAATCAGTTGATCGATCCTATTAAATTAATCACTCACTACCTGATTATTTGATTTCTGTAACCTCACGTGCATATAATCAATATACAATAATTAAACTCTATAAAATCTGTCCATATATACATGGATCTAAATTATTTTTCTCATATGTCTAAATCATAAATATTTTAGTCTTTCAAAAATAATTTAGACTGTCAAAAATTTAGACTGTCAAAAATAATTTAGACTGTTGAAAATAATTTAAGATTGTCAAAAATAATTAAGATTGTTTAAAATATTGACTACTAATTATTGTATAATTACATGTTATTAATTTTTGTTTCATAAGTATGCGTAATATACTATATAGTATTAAATTTATTTTTATATGATTATTTATTTATATAATTTCAATAAGAAAAATAACTATATACATGAAAAGAAATATAGTACTATGGTATATAATAATTTATAATGTTTAAATTAAAAAAAATTTATATGTCCTTATTAAAGATGTACATTATATGAGATAACAAAATTTTTACTCCACAATTTTATGCACCTTGCACAAGATGATGTCAACTTTTTGTGAAGTAAAATTATTTGATTAAGATAATTTTAATAATCAGTAAATTACTATATTAATTTAATAGTTTGTTTTACTTATTAAATAATATTAAATAACTATGTTTTTGTTATGTTATATTAATATTTTTTTTACATAAAATCACATAAAATTATACAATATAATTTTATATGAGGTTGTAAATATATGTTAGTTTAATCTTATGTAAGATATATCTCTAATCCTTATTCATAGATATATTAATAACTTCTTTAATATTATAATTATAATTATCCTCAGTTTCAAATTCTATATTACTTATATTAGTTGTTTTATTTATATTTTCAGAAGAAAATATATTAAAATCTAATATTTTCAATTTTTAAATTTTCATCATCATATTATATTAAAATCTAATATATTTTTAATTTCTAAATTTTTATTATCATATTGCAATAAATCATCTAAATCTTTAGTATCAGAAATATAATTAGTATCAAATTCTTCATCTTTATTTTTAATACTTTCAATATTATTATCAAATATATTATCATCAAATTTAACTATATTTGTATAATTTTCTATAACTTGTTTAAACTCTAATTCAGAAATATTATGATTAATATAATTAAGTTTATTTTAAATATTAGCTATATAGTATATATACAATTTTGTAATATTTTACACTTTTTTAATAATTAATTTATTAAAAAAAATAAAATTTAATATTAATAGTTACTTGTTTTACCTTTTTTGTGTAATCCAATTTAGTATAGAAAATATATATTTATAGTTTATACTATATAAAGTAATTGCTAATATATATAATACTAGTTTTTGTAAATAATAATTTAATACTTTATATCTATACTACTATGTTTGTAGTAATTTAACTCTATTTATATTTTTTTTTGTTATTAAGGTAGCTTATATTGCCAAAAGAATTTTATTAGAATTGTATATGGGATATCTATTGATAGT